AATAAGAAGTCATATTTATAAGCATAAATATTAGTTCTTAATCCCTATGTTCGCAGGTGTGAAGTTAGGGATTCGAATACTTTCTGAACATGCAAAAGTATAAGCAGCCACTATTCTAATATGTTTCAATTTATTTTAGCTTCAAGTGTATTAATACGCAAGAGCAAACGCTACGGAAGGCTTGCCATCAAAATGCGTAATTGGAGCTTTTACTAGGTTTCAGCCAATCGCATTATTTGGCGCAAGACGGCGGAACAAGTTGCTCCTTCTGATTGGCATTTGATGCCACGCGTGAGAACCACACACCTCATTACACCAATAAAGGGACGGGACATACTGAACTGTAGTGCCAACCAGCACCCCAGAGAACAAATAATTTTCCTGGAAGCAACGGTACATCTGAAGCAATCGATAAAAAGTCATTTCATTAACTAAAAAGCCAGATGTTACCTAAGCATTCCATTTACTTGAATATTGACATAAAATGGGTAGACATTTTGAAACTGTAACAGACATCGCAAAGTACTTACTGTTTTATAAAACGAGAAAATAAAAGGAAAGGCCAAGGTAAAGAAAAAGGAGCAGAGTTGCAAGGTAGAGTTGCCTTGAAGAATTAATTGCCACTGAAATTAATATATTTAGGACAGTATCTCATCAAATTAGCACCCAGCCCTCTATACTGTCGCCCAGAAGATGAAGGTAGACAGGTGCAAGTGGGCAGCTAAAGAAAAACTCCAAATAATAAATTACTGTTATTTAACAGTTTTTACGGTTCTAATGATGCACTACTTGCATAAGTACAAAGTAAAGTTGGAAATTTAGGCGACTAACAAAAAGAAAGTATATAGGGTTTGCATTTTAATAAAAACAACTTTACATATTTAGGAGATATGATCAAGGGAGGAGAGGTGGTAGACAAGTTTGTTGATAAAGTGATTAATTAAGCTGGCTATAGAGCCTCCACACCATGGGATAACAAACCACGAAAGCCAGGCAAGGGCACAATATCTGCAACGGGCAACGAGGGAATGGCATCCCTCATTCTTTTTACTATGCACACACCTCAAAGGAATGACACTTTTGCATCTGCGGAATTAGAC